GGGAAAGAGATCTTGGAGGGTTCCTGGTTGAAGCTGAGAACTTCACTTTTACATTTGCAGCATTTACACAAGTTCACCCAAAACTTTTCAGGGCTGGTTGAAATGGTGCTTAAAAAAAAAGAAAAGGATGTGGGGGGGAATACCAGTAAATTTAGGGATTGTCCTTCCAAACTTGGTAGAAAAGTGATTCAGAGTTTGACAGTGGTTTGAATTTAAAAAATGAAAAATGTGAAGCCACTGCCACACCTTAACCGTTTGTTAAGGAGAAAAAATGTGGAGAAAGGAGAAAAAACATGGAGAAAGGAAAAAAAGCAGTGTTTACCTCATCCCGGCTTTACCTCTCTGCTTTTTTCTCTTTCTCTGTTACCTAGAAGAGAGATTTTGTGGGGAGAGGACTAATTTAAAGCCAAGTAAAAAAAAAAAAAAAAAGGAAGGGAGTAGAAAGTCCAGACTTACTTCTTCAATATAAAGAATGACAAATTACAGTTTAAAATCCCTGGTGAAAAACCCCACAATTTTTTAGAGACATTTTCACTCTGAAGGTGAAAGCCACTCCCTTGTCAATGCAATATTTTTTTTTTTTTTTTGAGAAGGAAAGTTCAGACTTGCTCTGAGCACCACTAGGGAATGAGTTGCTGACTCCAGTCCGGTTCTCAGCAGATAGTGTGATGACTTCTTTTACAGAGAGCACGGTTGATACAAACTGCTCAAGGTGCCTTCAAACTGTCCGCTGTAAACACAATATGGATGCACTGGAGAGGCAGTAACTGTGGGAATACTGTGCACCCTATTGCAAGGCACTGTGACTGTTTTCTGGGAAGGCGAGCGGAATGGGTAGGAGTCTTGTGCAGATTTGCAGTTCTGCTTACACCTGTGTGTGTGGGGAAGGTGCTGTGCATGTCCCCTTCCCAGGTGTCATTGCTTGGAGTGTTGCTGTAGCTCCTCTTAGCATAGCCTCAGTGCCTGTGTAAGGACCAGTTTAGACCTGCCAGGCTGCTTTCAGAAAGGATCATGGTGCGGTCCTGAGTCTGGTCTCTGGCTTGACTGTTGGGGCGAGACGGATGAAGTGATGCCTATCTTGATCAGTGTTACTGAGTGGTGTTTGTTAGTTAAAGGATCGTTGCAACAGCTTTGCTGACGCACAGAAAATCAGGCTAAATTTTGAGGTTTTATTAGTTTCACTTCCCCCCTTCCTTTTAGATGCGTGTTTTTTCCTCTACGCATTGGGATGGGGCAGTGTTTTCAAGGGAAGAGCCGGGAATTTGCAATCATGTCATTGATTCCGTTCTGGTAGACCACAGAGGAGATGCATTGGATGAGGTGATCTTTGAAGGTCCGGTCCAGGTCTACCTTTCTTCCTAGGAATGTATTTATAGTCTGCTCAGTGTCTCAGAGTTCAGCATAGGACTGTTCACTCCTGGACACATTGTAGGGAAGCTGCATGACCTTGTGTGGGGACCACAAGATGGGAAGTGGGGACTTCTGGCGTCTCCGTGGGCTGCACCTCTGACATAGCAGTTTGGTTGTGTCATGCGGAGCAGTGGTGCTTGGACTAGCCCTCTGCAGCCATGGCATCCCGCCGCTGCAGGTAGGTTCTTCTGCTGTGGCAAGTCCATGACAGTATCTCTATATGTGTCAGCTTGGGGCCAGCCTAAGCAGAGGTCCTTGGCGCTGCGTGGTCTTATGATGTGTAGACGCAGCCACAACCATGTCGATTGACACATATTCTCTTAGTGCTGTCTCTGAATGACCTGGGCATCTCTCTGCAGGATAGATGAGAGGGCTTAATTTCAGCCAGAAGAGCAACTGGGTACAGCATAGGATCTCAGGACGGAATTGTTCTGGTTTTGCTTCACACTTTGGTCCTCAATAAGTCACTTGGGCTCCCATTTAGTGTTGTCCTGGGACAGTTTACTCCAGATGTGTTAACGGTTGTTTTTTGTACTGAAGCATTTGATTTTTTTCTTTGTGTGGAAAAGAAAGGCGGTGAGAACAGTGGGATGGTTGGCATGTGGAAATGGCGTTGGAAAGACTTCGTGATTTCTGGAGGGAGAGATGTGGTCGTGTTGTAGGTGTTCAGTCACTGCTTCAGAAGCTGACCACATGTTTCCTAAGTGGGTCAGGTCTTGGGTACGGAGGTGAAGTGGGGTAAGATGACTGAGCATGGTTCTGAGAGAGACATCTTCAGGAAGGCTGGTCCCCAACACGCCTCGCCAGACACTGATCATCCAAAATGGTGCCGGAGCCTGAAGTGGTTGTCTGCTGTCAGTTTGGTACTGTAATTCCTG